GGGTTTAGGGTTTAGGTAGCATATACCTGGAAAGTCCGTAATTAGTTTTGTTGGGGAGGCGGGGGGGGGGGGGGGGGGGGGGGGGCGGCATTAGTTCTGGTCTTCTATTTGAAGTTCTCGAGCATGACCCTAGAAGGTCGATTCGGGGCCTTGCGGTCTGTTTTTGAAGATGTTTTGGGGCACCCTAAACCCTAAACCCGAAACCCTAAACCCTATACCCCTAAACCCCTAAACCCCAAAACCCTAAACCCTAGTACACCTAAACCTTACAGTGGCCCTACAGGAAACCTTCAGAGCATTTCTTGTTTTGGAGGGTCCTTTCTACCCGGGCGACGCATGAGCGAATGCACTGTTTAGCAGGAAAACAGGCGACCAAAGCCATGAAGAGAAATGGCTCTTTGAGATATGCATAGGGGTTTAGGGTTTAGGGCGCTGCTCACTTGTGTAGCCCACACCCCCTTCAGGGAAGGAGCAATGCTTCACCGGTAATTGAGGACGTGTGATGGTAACCGTCGAGAGCTCAGATCTTCGGACATCTGCAAGCTAAACCCCATCTGCCCAGCACACCCCGCTACCCCCCTGAAACGCTTCCCCACATCCTCCTCAATTACCAGACCCTGTATTCCCTCATGAAGAAATGGGAGGCATACCTTCCTGAAATAGGGGCCGGAAAGAAAAGTTGAAGTATACCTTTGCTTCAAAGGGGTATCACAGATTGCTCTAGATTCCCAAGCCCTAAACCTAAACCTGTATCCCTAAACCCTAAACCCTAAACCCTAAACCCTAAACCCTAAACCCTAAACCCTAAACCCCAGGGCCCCCCCGGGGCCCATACCCATCCCGCACTCTGGGCGCGCAAAGGTCGCGAGTGGGCGAGGCACCCCGGAGCTGGAGCTCCGCCATGGGGAGGGGCCTCTGGCATCAGTTTTTTGTTGTTTCCTGGGGCTTAGGGTTTAGGGTCTAGGGATACAGGGTTTAAGTTTAGGGTTTAGGGTTTAGGGTTTAGGGTTTAGGGTTTAGGGTTTAGCTTTAGCTTTTTGTTGTTTCCTGGGGTTTTTCTTAAAGGATCAGGGGACTTAGTAAGTCGGGTTATAAGTAAGGGAACTATACTTGTAGTTGCTCATAACTTCCATATAAGGTACTTATATCCCTACTTACTAAGTGAACCGAAGCTCCAAGTAGGGCTCAGGGTTTATTTATCAGTTTTGGCACCGTTGGTTTTTTCTTTGGGTTTGGGGGTGGAGGCATTTTCTTGGGTTTGGTTCTTGGGTTGGGGAATGACTCTCGGAGTCTGGATTCGGGGTCATATGGAAAGCCTCAGCCTCGGGGCCTCGAGGCTGCGCCTTAGAACCAGCAACCAGCATGCTGGTGTCGCGGTGTGTCGCGACCCTGGTTCAGGAACTATAGTAAGGACAACAGGTGCCTGACACTCAGCACAAACCTTGTCCCAACACGAAAGGGAGGGTCAAGCGCGTCAGAGCAGCCAAAGGTTGAAAACTAGAAAAGTCCTGCTATCGTCCGCCAGGAAGAACAGACTTATGACCCTAGCGGCAATCACTGTCACCATTTGTGTTCGTAAACCCTAAACCCTAAACCCCAAACCCGAAACTCCCAAACCCTACACTCCCGTAACCCTTGTAGCTTTGAGGCATCCAAACCCAGGCCCCGAGCCAGGCCGTGTGCGGGCCCCTTCCCTCTCTCCCCACTCGAAGTAGAGTTGGCTGCGGTGGAGGGGGGGGTTTAGGGTTTAGGGTTTCGCGTTTAGGGTGTTTGAAGTGATTTCGACCGGGTAAGTAGGGGTTGAGGTTTGAGGGTGTAGGGCTCAAGGTCTAGGGTTTAGGGTTAGGAAGGTGAGCTATGGGAATGATACTTAGGGTTTACTAAAGTAGACTTCCTAAGTAAAAAGAGCTTCAAAGAAGAGTACATAGCCGAGAATATCTTTGCCCTCTTGACTCCCAGCACCTGCAAGCGGGCGTGCTTGCAGCATTCGGTTTGGGGTTTAGGGGGTTTTGGAGTTGGGGCTTCTGCCGCACCATCTCCAAAGAGCGAGCATCGGCGCGAGGGGAACCCCATGCATCAGTGCAAGTCCAGGACGCCACAACAGCAGCAACACAGGGTTACCCAACTACGGGCCAACAAAGGCTCGACAAGCTGATGGGCTCGTGTGCAGGTTTGTAAGTCTGGCTACTGCCTTGCTTCTGTCTGGTCAAGGACAGGTCTGTCCGCCCGGCTGCAACAGATACGGTCATTGCGGCAGATCCACCCACTTGGACATGAGCATTAGCATATGCTTATAGTATTCACCTGGCAGGATCACGAGTACAATTTTCGAAGCCAAACAAAGAAAGTCGGAACCATCCCTCACCAGCATGAAGCACACGGACCGGCCGTAAGGAGCGAACCTGCAAGTATACCACATTGGATAACGCGAAGCGGCTCCAACTAACAAAATCTCGAAAGCGGGAATTGGCTTCCAAGTTGTCAGATAAAAAAAAGTGCAGAAACCATCAACATCTTCCTCCTGCCCAACTGCGTTGCCAAGGTCTATTCCGACCCAACTCTGCTGCACCGTAGCAAAAAACTTAAGGACCTCGCTCACCAAATGGGCGCAAGCTGTTGCGGCTGGACACGGGCCACGGCGGCTTCACCAGCATCACGGCCAAGCCTCCTTATGTACCCACCACAGCAGGTGTTGCCGCCAGCCTCCTTCAGTACCTTCCAAGCTGGCTCCCACTGGAAGGTGGTGGTGAGGGTTTAGGGTTTAGGGTTTAGGGTTTAGGGTCTAGGGTCTAGGGTCTAGGGTTTAGGGTTGAGGGTTGAGGGTTGAGGGTTGAGGGTTTAGGGCTGTCAGTGTTCCGAGGATGAAGGCTCCCGTTCAGTCTACGTTGGGATCCGTGCAGCCATGTTGAAAGGGCTGCTCAGCTGGAGCGGAGTGCCCACCACACATGGCCAACCACACCCGCACCATGGCTAAAGAACGCACCCTAAACCCTAAACCCTAAACCCTAAACCCTAACCCCTAAACCCTAAACCCTAAACCCTAAATCCCTAAATCCCTAAATCCCTAAAACCCTAAATCCCTAAACCCGAAACCCTCTGCAAAACCTGCACTTGGACAATTGCGAATGGACCGGTGACTAGAAGCACATGCGAGGAGCAGTGGTGGGTGCCGAAAACGCTGACATCCTAGACCCTAAACCCCAAACCCCAAACCCTAAACCCTAAACCGCCTTCACCCCGAAGAGACGAGCATTTTTTTCGCAGAGTGCTTGGGTCAGGAACCCAGAAAGCCCGATGCCCCTCTATGAAAGAATTCTTAAGGAATATACCACCTCACATATTTTGAAATCCTACAGAAGCTACCGGAAATTCCTTGAGAAAAGGGGTCGTGGCTCTCTCCGAGCATCTCGATCCGGCGAAAGCGCAGAATTCTGAGCTGAACTGTGCGGGAGGCCTGGCATCCTCTGAACAGAAAGTTTAGTGTTTAGGGTTTAGGGTTTTGGGTTTATCGTTTAGGGTTTAGGGTTCCTTTTGGGGGTTCCGGTTATAAATCATACGAATTTTGGTGGCCAAGCAGAGGCCATACACAAGGCTCCTTTAACCAAAAGCTCCTACACTACGGTCCTATATGATCTAAGGTCTATTCCTCAAGTAAGAGTCTTGGGGGTTCACAAAATCTGCCCAGGCTACAAACCCTAAACCCTAAACCCTAAACCCGAAACCCTAAACCCGAAACCCTAAACCCGAAATCCTAAACCCTAAACCCCTGACTCCATGGAGTTTTGCTCACCACCATCGAGGGGAGTCGGCGGCTACTGGCCTGGCAAAGGCGCGCAGGGCCCGCTGCTTGAACTGTCCCTCCTAAACCACCCTAAACCCTAAACCCTAAACCCTAGACCCTAAGCCCTAAACCCTAAACCCAAAACCCAAAACCCAAAACCAAACCCTAAACCTTAAACCCTAAACCCTAAGCCCCGCCCCCTACAACACTAACGACACCGTAATGGCCATATGATAGTCAAAGGTCCATAGCCTCAAAACCCCGAAACCCGAACACTCAAACCTAAAGCCATTTCAGGAACTGAAGTGGCTCAAGTCACAGCTGCAAATAGCTGAGCTATGGCACAGCTGAGCGTTGTGGTTTGAGGTCGAGGTTTAACCCTAAACCCTAAACCCTAAACCCTAAACCATAAACCCTAAACCCCCGGTCTCAACCGTTTGAGATCGGCCTGAGGAGAATACAAGGCTTGCCCCCCCAAAGCCCTTTGTTGATGCATGGACTGAGGGCGGCGCCAGCATGTTTCGAGCTTTTCCCGGAAGCCCCTAGATCCCAAATACGATGACTACTTCATATGGCATAGTATATCTCGTATCTTGTGTGCGACATGTAAACATGATAAACAAATACATATGCATAAAAGTTTTGCAATAACACATAATGTATGCATATGTCATATGTATATTCATGATCTTTCGCTTTATAAGCTCGAAGTTTCGTCACCTTTGCCGACGAGCCTGGCCTCTGTGAAACCTTGAGAGTGGTGAGACACGCCTACTTTGGAGGTTCAGGGGTTTAGGGTTTAGGGTTTAGGGTTTAGGGTTTAGGGTTAAGGGTTTAGGGTTTAGGGTTTAGGGTTTAGGGTTTAGGGTTTAGGGCCCTTAGTAATTAGGGATAGAAGCACCTTAATTGGGGTTATAAGTAACTATAAGTATAGTTACCTTACTTATAATCCCACTTGCGAAGTCCCCGGATCCTCGCATGCTACACAAAGGCAGTGGTTGAGGGGTTCAGGGTTGAAGGCTTTGGGCTTTCACCTTTCTGAACCCAACTTCTGACTAACGCCTCTAAACCCTCACTCCTAAAACCCTACCCTAAACACCTCACTTAGAAGCTCAAATTCTGCTGCCCCGGTTTCGCTCCTTTGAAGGAAGGGTCCCGTATCCGATGATCTACGGCTTCTCACAGGGATCTCTTCAAGAGATTCCGACTCATGCAGCTTCTACACTCGCAGAATGAAGTCGCTTCCGTGTGTCTCCAGCGCGACGCTGGCGAGCCGTATCCGGAATGATGATCCTACCTTGGCCACCGGGTTTCTCGGGTTGTAGGAGGGTTTAGGGTTTATGGTTTAGGGTTTAGGGTTTAGGGTTACATCATACTCTGAACCTGGTAGACTTGACGTGTCAGAAAGCTACATGCCCTTCGACAAAGGACCTGGCGCCTTAGTCAGAGGGCACGCTTCCATTCTTAAGTGCTAGAAAAAGAATACTTACACCTACAGGAGACAGGCCGGATATACCTGTGCCAAATTGGAAAAGGCAGCTGAAATCAGGAGAAGGAGTTAGGGTGTTCACGTTTGAAACGCTCAACATTTGCTGTGTTTAGGGTTTATAGGCTTTTGGGGTTTAGGGTTTAGGGTTTAGGGTTTAGGGTTTACGGTTTCGACTCTCACGCTAGCGGAACGCTGGCGAGGACTCTGGTTCGAGTGGCAAGACGTGAGACAGAATGGCTTACTGGCAGCTCAGCTCAGCCCATCCCACCTCAAATGCCTACCATACAAATCACTCCGTATCCCCGAACCCAGCCAAATTGCAGAAGCGCGGCAGTCATGGACAAGGGTCTACGGTTTAGGGTTACCCTATAGATTTTTGCCGCCCTAGCCAGGCACTATGACTCTTTGGGAGTTTAGGGTTTCCATGCCGAAACTTAGGCCTGAAACGTCGCCCTACTCACCCTAGTAAAGGGGTCGGAAGAACTACTAATATACCCTTTTGGTCCCTTTGTAATTATACCATAATCACCCCCAGAACCCTAATCTCAGTATTCAGGTCCCTAGAGTAGCCCTAAACCCTAAACCCTAAACCCAAAACCCAAAACCCAAACCCTAAACCCCAAACCCTAATCTAATTATTCAGGCACCATTTTTACAGGATTTGGTGTTCAGGGCTGCCGTCCGAGCATCGAGGTTGTTGTTGAGGCGCACCTCCTGCAGGGGTTGTGCTTGCTTTCTCGTTCCCCGTTTTGAATCTTTTTCTATATATATATGTATATATATATACATATATATATAGAGATATATAGATATATAGATCTATGTATATGTGTATATATATATATACATATATACATATATATGTACATATATATATATATAGACCTATATATATGTATATGTATATATATATATATACATATATACATACAAATCTGTATTGATTCATTTATGTATTTGTTGACATACATAGCTAGCTGAGCTGTCCCGAGCTGCGCAGAAGTCAGACTCAGCTGAACACAACCTGGAAGCCTCCACCGCCCTAAACCCTCAACCCTCAACCCTCAACCCTCAACCCTCAACCCTAACCCCTAAGCCAGGCTTCCTTGGAGGATCGAGGGACGTAGAAAGTGGGTACAAAGCAAGAAGCCAGTAAGGCCTGGGGCCTGACAACCAAAAATATTAGAGTGCTTGGAAGCCTAGGGGGTAGGGTTCAGGGTCAGATACCCTAAACCCTAAACCCTAAACCCTAAACCCTAAGCCGGGATCCGTCCTTTAAGGACGGGTGCACGCCACCTTCCAACATGTGGATGAAATCCTCAGCTCCTGCCTGGCAGCTTCAGGGGTCTTAAGGCTTGCTTCCACGTGTTCAAGGTTTAGGGTTAGGGTTTAGGGTTTGGGGTTTAGGGTTTAGGGTGACTGAACCCTAGACACCAAATCTTTAAACACCAAACCCCTGAAGCCTAAACCCTGGAACCTCAATGGGTCACTCAACCTTCGTTGCCTTCATGCTCAGCCAACAGTTGTCTACATCAGCCAAATTCCACATAACCCCAGCATCTTTTTGAGTGGCACTAATTTGGGGGTTTTCCGAAAATGTGGGTACCCTGTTGCGGGGTCCCTTGAAGGGGATTCTATTCTACTTGGGGAACAAAATTACCCCTTTTTTGGGAAATACCCATTTGGGGACCCTTTCCAATAACGTACCAATCTTCGGGACGTTCCATGGATGTGTGTATATACACATTTCCGCAATTAACGCCAATCCAAACTTGATGCAAGCTTGAACGTCCCGGCGGATGAAAAACCCAAATCTCGGTTTTAATGGGTTCGAAGATTCTCGGCCTACGCGTCACATGCGGCAGGCGGCGTCTTCAAAAGCGTACTTGGTCATCAAAAATACACAAGCGAGCTCGTTGATTCGGAATACAGGATTTACATCGCATGCAACAAGTTATAAGAAGTGCAAAGTTGCGAACAATAAGGTTCCAGTCCTGTCCCTGCTGGGCCTAGACACCCCTAGATTAAGGTGATGTTGGGCTGGTGCCCCTTTGGCGTCAAGCATGCACGGCACGATGCTGTTTTCGTAGCGCTTCTCCGTATGCACGAGCAGATGTCTGCAGGCACTTGTGATGGGAATGTGCCCTCGTGATGCCCAACCTTTCTGACCTGAGCAGCACCTCGAAGCCAGAGCTATACAAAATCAGCGGGTTGAGGAGGTGGTGCCTCTGGCCTCACAACCTGCTCCGCATGGTCCTTGCAAGCAACCTGCTCCGAATGGTCCTTGCAACTTGCACGGTCGTCTCCACGCCTTGCGCCGTTCCTCCGCCCACGATGGCACCGGCTGCGGCCACCGCTGCTGTGGCACCGGAGCCAAGCCCGGCAGCGCCGATGCTCTGGCAGACTGCCACCGCGCTTCCCGCCAGCACCTGGGCTGATTTTGGGGCCCATAGATACTTAGTGTGTATACAAATATATGTATATATATGTATATCTATATATATATATATATATACATTAATACATAGATAGATAGACAGATAGATAGATATGTATATATATACATGTAAATATATATATATATATATATCTATATATGTACATATGTTCAAATCTCTAGGGTTTGATTGTAGGCTACATACTTCGGGTCGGGTGATCTAGTTCGGGCCCATGGAGCTTTAAAACTTCAATCCAAGTCAACCGCAGGCACGCTCCCCCCGTTGGCAGCAGCAGCACTTGACATCATGGCGGCGGCAGTAGAGCCGGCAGCGATGCCGGTTGCTGTAAAGCCGAGTGAAGCGACAACGGCGGGCGCAGCGACGACAGCCACACCAGCACCGGCCACGGTGGCTGCGGTCTTCCCGAGAAAGGACTTGATGCCCATGCTGCCGTGCTGTGATACTGGCTTGAGAAGAGGGCCCGCAATGAAGCAGGTGCGCTTTCACGCGTGGAGGCCTACGCAACGAGAACAAACGACATCCTTGCAAGAAGCGGGGAACTCCAATCGAACAAGAAGGGGCCGGATTGATGTCTAACCCTTTGTCGAGCTAGACGAAGATTTGTCTTAAAACTGTGAGGACCGATGTTTCAACCTTAGAATGGTCGGGATGAAGCCGAATCAAAACACCTGTGCAGAAGTGTAAGTGTTTACGGCGTGGCGCTGTACGTGATACAGCCCCCTAAACCCTAAACGCTAAACCCTAGACCCTAAACCCGCATGCTGCAGTTCTAACCACCTCCTTGTTCCTTGAAATGAACACCTCTCAGGACCTGGGGCCTGGGTCCTGGGGCATGGCTCAAAGGCATACACCTCCTTATAACCTAAATGAATCTTAGGGTTTAATTAAGGTTTAGAGTTCGACTTCCCCAGATCAAAGGCACAGACCAAGACTGCAGCTGCCAAACCATGACCGCGGACTTCCGCCCTCACCGGAAGTTCCTCTTTTCATCCCTAAAGCCTTTTCCATCCGGACTTGGGCAGTCGGCCGGGAATGGAAGTTGCAACCCTAAACCCTAGACCATAAACCCTTAAACCCACAGTCTTTCTCACCCTGGAGCCTTGCCGAGAGTGGAGCCTCAGGCCCTCTAATGAGAACACAACGAATTTTGGCAGAATAGACCTTAGGTTTAGGGTTTAGGGTTTGTTATGTTGTATGAAACGAGTATCATCTTCAGAAGAAAAGGAGTAGCACCCATCATCATAGACGGGAGGTCGTGTGCTTGTTCTTGGTGGAACTGAACATCTGCCCGGAGAAGCTTCCAAAGTGGCCGCAAAGAACTGCCCTTCGTCTTGACAAGGCACGTAGATATGAAGGCACAATATGTATATGTTTATATGTCTTCTTTATTTATTTGTAATTTTGTGAAACTTGTAGACACCCCCCAGCTGAAAAAAAAAAAAAAAAAAAAACAGTTGCTCCCATCTTTCCCAAGCCTAAACCCTAAACCCTTTTTTGAACCCAGACTCCTGAAGCCCTTCTTGCAACCGGACTGAAGGCGTTGAACCCTGAACCCTAAACCCGAAGCGCCTTCTTTTCTCCGCGCCAGTTGTGCAACGCATCGTCTCGTAGGCTTCAGGAGGGGTTGGGGCTCATACAGCCCTTCCGCATGGCCTCAAGCCTTCGAGTGTTTCATTGGATTTCCATTGCCCTAAACCCTAAACCCTAAACCCTAAACCCTAAACCCTAAACCCTAAACCCTTGTTTGCTTCAGGGCCTAAACCCTAAACCCTAAACCCTCAATGTTGGCAGCAAGGCCTTAAAGTTTGCCCTGAGCTTAGGATGTATCACCCCACGCCAAGCTTGGAATACCGACTTCTTGGTTTTCAAAGGGTTTAGGGTTTAGGGTTTAGGGTTTAGGGTTTAGGGTTTAGGGTTTAGGGTTTAGGGTTTAGGGTTTAGGGTTTAGGGTTTAGGGCTAAATATACAGGAACCTGTCCCCTTAAAACAAAAAGGGTGGAATAAGGGCTCACTCTGGGTGAAAGAGGCCCGAAATCGCTGTCTCACTCCAAACTGGCTGGGTTCAGGCTCTCGAAAGTCTGGACGGCTGCTTGCAAGGCCTCCTCGCTACCAAAGAGGCTCAAGTACCTCGGGAGCCCATCAAGCATATCAAAAGTTTAGGGTTTAGGGTTTAGGGTTTAGGGTTTAGGGTTTAGGGTTTAGGGTTTAGGGTTTAGGGTTTAGGGTTTAGGGTTTAGGGTTTAGTCGCTCACTCTCGCACAAGGCCGGCAAGGTCCATAGGGTTTAGGGTTTAGGGTTTAGGGATATTCAAATAGGGGCACCCTTCCTTGGGGAGTTGCTTACTTTCTAAGGGAGCCTTGAACCAACAAAAAGGAGCAAAAGGTCAAGACACTGCCGCCGGAAGATCTCTTGTGCGAAGTCGTAGATCTTCTTGCCTTGGCCCTAAACCCTAGGCCCTAAACCCCAAACCCCAAACCCTAAACCCTAAACCCGAAACCCTAAACCCTAAACCCTGGGCCGCCATTGACGGGCTGCGGCTTAAGAGTCGCCGCCGAACTTTCTCTTAGACTGACACCCCGTCCAACACTGACACTTGCACGCACACACAAGCAGCTTTATGTTTAAGGGACTACGGGAGGGGGTCTGGTTTAGGGTTTAGGGTTTAGGGTCTAGGGTTTAGGGTCTAGGGTTTAGGGTTGAGGGCTTAGGGTTTAGGGGCTAGGTTTAGGGTCTAGGGTTTAGGGTTTAGGGTTTAGGGTCTAGGGTTATGTTGATCAGGCAACTGACATGTTGGGTGACTACGTCAGGTGCTTTCAGTATGGTTAATTCTGTGGTTCTATTGGCGGCTAGGACTGTCGAATCCGATTAAGGTTTACCTCCTAGTCTCCATTCTAAATTTGGCCCGCCTTCGAAACCCTGTGAAACGGATTCTAAAAAAAGGTTTAGGGTAGTTGAGGGTTTAGGGGTTAGGGTTTAGGGTTAGTAAGGGCTCTTGAAGCCCAGAAGGAAGAAATAGCAAACAGCTCATGAGGCTTACCTAGTAAACCGCACAGAAGTCAGCGAGAAACCACACTTTTTTGGGCTTTTTCCGATACACATTCCGATATCCCTTGAACACCCCGTTTCAACCCTTACAAGCCCCTGTGCAAACCCACAAAAACACGCCTAAACCCTAAACCCTAAACCCTAAACCCTAAACCCTAAACCCTTAACCCTTATAAACACTAAACCCCAAAACGCCCTTAAACCCACCCCCGAGTTGCCCTTCTCGGCCACGAAAGTGGCGAGCCTCAGCTCCTCGTCGTTCCAGTCGAGCTTGTTCTCTGTGTTGGTGTTGCTGTACGTATTCACCTGGTCCATAAGGTTGGAGCCATGGGCCCAAAGTTTGGGTTTAGGGTTTAGGGTTCAGGGTTTTCGCAAGCCCCACCTTGGATGCTTTTCATTGTTTAGGATTTCGGGTCTTGGGGTTTAGCCCCTAAGCCGCGTGAGCAGGGCGAAGCTGAAAGCACACGCTTGCCTCTACCTCCTCTTCTCTTTAGGGTGCAGGGTCTCTTTAGGGTTCAGGGTTCAGGGTTCAGGGTTTAGGGTTTAGAGTTTCGGGTTATTCTGAGACATACACCTCGACACAAGTCTTTAGCTCCGCAAGTAAAAGCTAAGTACCCCAGCAACCTAGAAGAAAGCAGGGCGGCCTTGTTGGTTGATAAGGCTTCTAAAGTGGTACCAATATGTGCCACTCTAAATTAAGGAGGAAGGGTTTAGGGTTGCGGGTTTCGGGTTTAGGGAAAGGCAACCCTACATCTTAAACCCTAAGCCCTAAACCCCACAGCACCCGAACACGTGCTATCACGCAAGGATCCAGCAACAACTTGCC